TTTTTATAAAAAAAAAAAAAAAAAAAAAAAAAAAAAAAAAAAAAAAAAAAAGCAGGTTGCATTTAAAGGAAAAGTTAGAGTTAAAATGTTTGGGCTTTGGAAACAGCCAGATTAAATAAAATAAATGTAAAATGCACCTATAACAGTGCCAAGGACATAGCAGACATTCAACCAAGGATATTTTTAAAAATCTCTTATACTTTAAATTTCGCAGCAAGGGCAATATAACACAATGGTTAAGACAACAGGAAACTAACTTTTTAATTTAAAAAATATGCTAGGAAAGGATACTACATATACATTTTCTGTGACCATTTAAACCAACATCTTCTTTTCAGCTCCAAGTTCCTCTGTCCCAGGGTTCCCACATATGAAATACTAACACTGCTATGAACATTTAAAAAAATTACTTTGAATGCATAAACTGAATGTATGATTAGTCTATTTTATTAGCAATATTTTTACTCTCTGAATAATTACAACTAATTCAAAGTATTCAAAAGATCAAAGTATTTACATAAAAAACTAGCCTGGCAATTTTGATAAGTTATAACTCAAATAAAGAAGGGAAATAGATTTTCACTTCTCAAATATTCCCATCATCCCCCAAGATGAAAATGATGTAAAGGAGTAAATTTAGGAAGGCGTATAAACTCTGAAAATGAGCTTTCCCTTTGGCTAAGTAATACCATTGATCAGTAATGGCTGATTTCACTGGTTTATTCACAGAAAATGTATAAGCACTTTAAAATTAAAGTTCAATTTAAATAAAATTTAAAATTTAGTTCCTCTGATGCACTAGCCACATTTCCAGTGTTCAGTCACTATAATCTGGCTAGCAGCTACTGTACTCGACAGTGTAGATTTAGATCATTTCCTTCAGTACAGAGAGTTCTGTTGGAGACCACTGGGTCTAGATAATTCTAAGATGAAAAATAAGCCAGCCTATCATCTGGTTTGAGAAATGATTACAACATCTGAGGATTCTTCTTGTGACACAGGGGTGAAAAAAAACCAGAGAGCTTGAATAGAGAGGGAAAAACGCACCAAGACTCTGAGCTCAGCTTTAAGTGTAAGGTGTGGGGAGCCCTGTGAGAGGGTGCACCTGTCTCACAGCTTCTCCCAGCCCGTGTCTGAGGCAGAGACAGAATCTGGCCTCCGGTCTCTTTCTTCTCACGCTACATACTCCTCAGACAATCCTGCCCACACAGCTACAAGCTGGTAACATGAAAAGGTCTGTTTCCAACACACATGGAACTCCTGCCTTCAGATCCGTAAATCCAGCTCCCCTTACTCCATATCTTTACTTGGATTGTTTTGAAAGTGACTCACAATGTATCCAAAACTGAACTCATCATTTCTTGCCTCGCTGCCTCCTGCATAAAAAAGAATGTGGTTGGCCTTTGTCTCCAGTTCCTGAGAGGTAGCCAATAAACCCTTGAATTTCACTGTGACAAGAGTATCTTTGTTACTCATGGTGGGCTCCTTGGCCCACATCTGACAGCTTGTGCTAACAGGTGACTCAGGGTGGGCCCCTAGATGGTTTTTGCTAAGGAGATGACTCAGGATGGGAGCTGGCCAAGCCAGAAAGACCAACCGTATGCTTAGAGGGTTGGCGCTCTGAGCCAAAAGATATCAGCCCGACCTCTGGCAAGTGGAGAGCAGCTGGAGATTGAGTTCAACCCTGTGGCCCATGATTTAATTAATCATGCATACATAACGCAACACCAGTAAAAACTCTCAACACCAGAGCTCAGGTAAGCTTCCCTGGCTGGGAATACTCTACACATTGTCGCACACTGATGTGCCAGGAGGGTAATGCATCCTGACTCTATAGGAAAAGGACAATGGAAACTTGGAGTCTGGGACTCTCCCAGACTTTTCCCACTGTGCCTCTCCCTTTGGCTGGTTCTGATTTGTATCCTATTTCTATAATAAAATTGTAATCATAAGTACAGAGCTTTCCTGAGTTCTGTGTCATTTTAGTGAATGGATAGCCAGTTGGTCAGAAGTGAGAGTAGCCTGGGGTCCCCCAAAGTTGTGACTGGCTTCTGAAGTAAGGGTCAATTTTGGGGAGGACTGTGCCCTCAACCTATAAAGTGTGGCTTAACTCCGGGTAGTTGGTCGGAAGTCACTGTACCCTTCAGATCTGCTCCTCCCACAGGGTTCACGATCATAGCGAATGAAGATCTACCCATCTATCCTTCTGCTAATGGGAGAAAGAAGATCATCACTGATAATTCTTCCTCCTCAACTGCACTCCACACAAACGATGAATCAGTACATCCTTCCAACTCCTGCCCAGTCTACAAAGCCCTACATGACCTGGCCTTTTCTTCAGGTTTCTTGATGATGGGGTATATCTATTTAAGGGTGCTAGTAGGGCCACGTATAAGCTTTAAATTAAAGAGCTAAACTTATAGTTTAAAATTATGTGATCTCTTTCACCATGTCTCCTTGCTATAGAGTTACTAGCATTTAATTTTGACTTTATGCCTACAAAGGGGAAATTCCAGGCTTTATTTAGAATACTTGTATTAATAAATAAGTTTTAAATTTCTCAATTCCAGGGAATCTGTTTATAGGTACTCAATTTTAAAGAGACAGGTGAGTAAAATTTTTCTTGACAAGAAAAACTACCAACTGTCACTGAAGGGTAAGAATTATTATTTTCTGGTACCATGATTATTTGTATAAAGATATATCCATGCTGTACCTATAAAGTAATATGACAGGTTTTAAAAATAAACATACTAGAAATTACTCATAAAAATAAAATCTGTCATTCAAAGCAGTCTCCTTTGGAGACTCATTCCAATAACGGAACCAAAGCTCAAAATATTTTGGAAAATTCTCTTTGGGAACTGTCTTCACATTCTGCATAGATACTTCTGAATATTCTCATAGATGATAAATCTTTGCCCTGTGAAACTCAATTTTACCTTTGTAAGCAACTAATCATTAAAAGCCATGGTGGGAAATAAGGTCAAAGATCATGACATTTCTGATGAAAAGAAAGGTATATTTGGATGAAAACCACTGGCAACGTGTAAGTTTTAAGTGATATACTTGCTCTGAACCAAAGCCAAATTAAAGGATGTCAGAGGGGAGAGAGAGAGAGAGAGAAAGAGAGAGAGAGAGGGAGGGAGGCAGGAGAAAGACAACAAGGAAACTGGTATTTAAAGAGTCACACACTCTCTTGAAAATCTGATGACAGTTATGGCTTCCTCTCAAACTTCTGCATATATTATTAGAAAGGTACACCACATCAAGGTCATCTATGGAGCCAGATTAAAATTCCCTGGTTTAGAACAGTAGCTTTCGCTTTCTTTTTCTTTCTTTCATTTTTTTTTTTTTTTTTACTGTACCCAACAGGAAAAAAAAAATTATACTGTGACCCAGTTTGTACATACATACATATAATTAAAACAAAAGTTTCACAAATAATTATCAACCTTACCATGTGATAGTATTCTCTTATATTTGATTTCATTATGAAAAATGCTACTTATGACCTACTACACCAATTTCACAATCTACAGTTTGAAAAATACTGGTTTAGAGTAACTGATGCCTAATATGAATAAACTAATGAAAATGGGAAAACTCACTTGATTATAAAAATTCTGATGTTATTTTAAACTAACAAAGAAAAAGTCATTTTACTCTATAGCCAAACTTTTCAAGAGACTGGATTCTTTATGGCAAAACGGAACCGTCTTGGTCATTCATCTAAATGGCTAACTAACTACTGGAGACACTGATGGGTAAATCATACAATGTTCATACCTTAATATTAGAAAACCACAAATCATTCTCATGTAAAGTGGCTAGGTAGACAGATGTAAGAAGTCCAGTGCAAAGGGCAACAGTTCCACCAATTGTAAATGAAAGAATCGTCCATAATCTTCTATTGGTACAACCTTTTAGAAAAATGAACAGATGAAAAACCAAGTCAGTAAAGGATTTAGCAGTTAATAGTTCTATTTCAGACTGTCAAACGTGCCAAGTTCCAGCTGCCTGTTAGTGGTGAAGCTTTCCGTGTCTCCAGCAGACAGTTAGGGGTTCCGTTTTGTGATTCCACAGACCTTTGTATACTTTTCATACTTTTATTATAGTTTTTTTCCCCCACTGTATCTAACTGTTCATTTGTCCATTTTGCCAACTAGAATGTAAGCATCTTGAGGACCAGCATACTATCTTATTCACCTTAACACCTAGGACCTGTGCTTGACCTAGTTTAACTACTAAGTTTCTTAAATAGAGGAATAAATGGGTTACAGATCTAAAATATAAAGTCTTTTAGATGATCTACTTACAATGTGTGGTTTATTCATTAAAAGCTACTCCCAAACTTGATTACTTAAAATTTTAAACCCCATCACACAAGTTAAAGGAATATAAACTAGGAAACATATTTATAGTATATATAAGAAAGGTTAAATATCCTTAATATAGGATAAATACTTTCAGGATAATAAAAAAAATGAATATTTCAGTAGGAAACTGATTAAGGACATGAATAGGCAATGCACAGAAGAAAAAATGGGCAATAAACTTAATAGAAAAAAAAAGTTAGTATTAATGAAATGCAAATCAAAACAAAGAGCTATAACTTTTACAATAGTGGCCAATTTGATAGCTTAAAAATGCTTAGTACTCTGTTTTGGTAAGGATACAAAAATATCGACTTTTTTTAAAAAAATAGACATTTTTTAAACACTGCTGGTGTTAGAATAAATGGATACCTCTCTGGAATGTGACATGGCAATAGGAAGTAAAAGCCACCAAAATGAGCACCCTATTTGACCAATAATTGTACATCTAGGCATACACCTCAAAGAAATAAAGTTTTAAACAAACATTTGGCCACTGTGGTTCAGTTTGTATAGGTAAAAGGTTAAAAATCATCTAAATATTCAATAAGAAATTAAATAAATTATGCTACAGTCACACATTGACTACACACTGACAAAATTTTAAAAATACATTGACTGACATATGTTCATAACACAACAAGAGAAAGATAGCAAGTTACACAACAGTGAGTAGGATCTCAATTTTGAGAAAAAACACATCTGAATGCTTGTAGGTGTACACGTACAGAGAACAACATTTAGACAGCAAGATAAAGTGTCATAGGTGGTAATCTCAGGATGAGTGGGTTTGCGGGAGTATTTTTTCCTTCATTTTTGCTTTTCTTTAGTTTTTTTTTTTTCTGATATGAATAAATACTGCTTTGGTAAAATGAACAGTCCTCAAAGTTATGTTTTAATTTAAAAGGACAAACTTGAACCTGTATTTGTTTTTATATAAGATTTTCAGAAAATACTCTGTATTGTCCCAAATTGCCAATAGCTGAGTTGGGTGGCATGACTGCTCAATACAGATTACTTTTATTTTATAAAACTGTCACCCCCCCACCAAAAAAATAAAACCTTTACCCCAAATTACTTTACTAGCTCTAGCTGCAGCTGATGTAAACTCTGTCAGATATCCAAAATGGCTGACAGACATGGAATTTTTCATGCTTACTTTAAAAAATCCTGACCGTGCTTAGCCTAAGAAAGCAACTTGGGAAGCAAGAAGTTGGTAATTAATGCCATCTGATGTATGGCTCAGCAACAGTCTTCAACATTATTTAAACAATTTACCAAATTCTGACCACTTTTCCCACCAAAAAAAAAAAAAAAGCAAATTAGAAAATTTCAGGAATTTAACTGAAAATAAAGAATAAAAGAAAGTTTGATTCATCTTTCAATATTTTAATGAAATGAGAAACTCACCCAAGGTAAGGCTGTCTAGTTGTGAACAGCATACACAAACCAGAAAAATTAGAAGTAGACTAAAATCTGAACAGTGGGAAAAAGTATTACTCTCAAAGTCAAAGGATCAGATTGGCATAACTATACTGAACAGGCAGCTGAGAAGCAAAGGGTTCTAATCAGAGGTCTTCTATGTAATCATAACTGTAAAACAAATATTATCACATTGCGATCAAATCATCTGTAAAACTAAAATATCAGGGTAATAGAATAAGTTTCTTCACCTATTAGGTCTCACCAAATTTTCATCCTATTGGAGAGTGATTATTTCAATGTGCAGACAAAAAAGCAATCCAAAATGCTGCTTTAATTTAAATCACCTACTAGATGGCAATTTATTTTCCAACTTCACATTTTCTTCTTGCGCCACGTAATCCTCTGAAACTTCTGTGGTTTGTATTCCTTTTCTTTGCCTGATGGATATCATGGTGTCAAAGACTCACATGCATTGTTCTTCCAACCACTCCTACAAACAACAAAGAAGTAAGCCACCATCCATATGTCCGTACCCTCTCTGCCAAATACAGCCTGTGCTCATCTGTGTTTTGGAGACTTTACCTGAGCCATTTTCCCTCGCTTAGCACACCCTCCCATTTTCCCATCCAAACCTTAACCAGCTTTCAAAGCTACTCTCAAGACACAACATAAATATTTCTTTAACACAACCACATTTACAAAGCGCCTGTCCTGTGGCAGGCACTGCCAAGAGTTAGGAGCACAGGTGAGCATCACAGACAAGCCCCTGCCCTTCTTCCAGGAAGCCTTCTTTCTTGGGATGCACCAACCCCTACTGATCTCTCCCCTTCCCGAGTCATAGCAGCTACCACGCATTTTGTCACATAATTAGGTAGTTTTATATTATTTTCTATAGTACCAACCATGGAGAAGGTATTAAGTAGTAAATTTGTTGATTGTTGATGGTCTGATTTTGAAGAACTGAAACACTGTTTTGTCTCCAGTATCTGGATTTTGATACTGGTGCTCCTTCAAACAATTTACACTGGAAGCTTTAGGAATATGCCTCAGTGGTGATGGCAGCGGGGGTGTGCCAATCAGGGCAGCTGCTACACCAGGCAGCAACAGTGGGAGTGACGGCAGGGAGCAGGGGCCTGGTTTGGAAGCAGCAAGTGGGAGGCAGGGGAGTGGTGGCAGTGAGTAAGCTGGCTACAGTCCCCCGGAACATCTGGCGTCACTCCTCCGACAAATGAACAGCGTTTAACCATTTATTAACTATGACCGGTTGCCGGACACGACTGTCGGGGCAGTTTATTAATTCCTAAAGGTAAACAAGTTGCTCTACTGAAAAGAACACACCAATCAACGTTATACCATTCATTCATTCATACAAAAAAAAAAATCTGAGAGGAAAAAGGTGCAAGTACCGAAAATGGAGAATCTGGAGCAACGAAGGAGAAAACGAGTGTGGGCAAAGTCGTACGTTTAGAGATGAGCTTACCCCCAAATTACCTCATCCTAGAATCATGATCTTTCTAAGGGCCCCAAGCGGAGTTGTAAAAATCCCACAACTGATACAACGTAACACATTAGGACAGAAGGGCAACAAATGTTTAAGTGCCAACTACGTGTGATAACTGCATGAACCCAAGAAACAAAAGTTTCCCCATCAAATTACAAGGAATGCCATCTTAAATGTTTGAAAAGGGAAATGAGAGCGGGTGTTTTTCTCCATTGCTTAGAAGAACCAGCACGTACTGGGCATTCCGGGGCGCTGCCAGGGCACATTATTCAGCTCACCTCCGCACCCCAATCTACACCACCGGAGTCCCCGCCAGACGCTGAGGGGCCGGATAAGTTCAGTAACTCGCTCCGGCTCATCTAGGAAGTGGCGTGGCCGCCGAGGCCGGAGACCACCCAGCCCCTCCCTCCGCCCGCGTGGCCAAAGCAAGAAGTCGCCCGAGAAGGCGCCCCGCCCTCGGCAAACTTGCTCTCTCCGAAGCTGCCGCCCCCAGCCCCGCACGTCGGGAGGACAAGGGGGCGCCCAGTCCCACACCGGGTCTCCGAAGAAGCCGCGAGGGCCGGATTCGCGCCCCCAACCTGAGCGACGCAGCGGGGCGGCCCGCGGGCTTTCGGTCTTTGCGGCAGATTCAGCTGAACGCTGCCGCGCAAGGTCGGAGCGCCACCCGCCCGCCGGACAGTCCGGGGCCGCCGACGGAGCCTCGCGTCCGCGCGTCCCCTCGCGCTGCCCGCGGCCCGACACGCAGCCACAGACCTGCGGCCTCCGCCGTCCTCGCGCGCGGCTCCGGACC